AGGGAGCAAGCTTGTTTTCTGCTTCCTTGGAGACTAGGACGCGGAACAATGACTTCAAACTACAAGAAAGGAGATTCCATCTGAACATAAGGAAGAACTTCTGACTGTGAGAGCCGTTCAGCAGTGGAACTCTCTGCCCCAAAGTGTGGTGGAGGCTCTTTCTTTGGAAGCTTTTAAACAGAGGCTGGATGGCCATCTGTCAGGGGTGCTTTGAATGCAATATTCCTGCTTCTTGGCAGAGGGTTGGACTGGATGGCAGGAGGTCTCTTGTCTGCAAACTTGATATATGCAATCATACATATACACAAATATACACACACACATATACGCACACAAAATACATATACACAAACGTGGCCACAGCAACACATGGCAGGAGATGGCTAATACTTAATATGATTGTTTTAATTTTTATGTACTTTGCTTGTTATTGTTCATTCACTTACCGTAATTTAAATTGTCTATATGTTTATTATCATTTATTTACCTTGTTTATATTGTTACATTGCTGTAAGCCACTCCGAGTCCCCTCGGGGAGAGGGCCGGGATACAAATAAAGTATAATCATAACAAGCTGAACATGAGCCAAGAGTGTGATGCAGCAGCTCAAAAGTCCAATGTGATTTTGGGCTGCATCAAAAGGAGTCTATAAGTCCAGCATAGACTCATAATGCAGTTCGGAGCAGTATATGGTTATTATATGGGCATTATATGGCTAGCCTAGACTCATAATGCAGTTCAGTGCAGTATATGGTCATTATATGGACACTGTATGGCCAGTGTAGACTCATAATGCAGTTTAGTGCAGTATATGGTTAATATATGGACACTATATGGTCAGCATAGACTCATAATGCAATTCAAAGCAGTATATGGTCATTGTATGGATACGATACGGCCAGTATAGACTTATAATGCAGTTCAGTGCAGTATATGGTCATTATATAGGCTCTATATGGCCAGTGTTGACTCATAATGCAGTTCAGTGCAGTATATGATCATTATATGGGCACTATAAGGTCAGCGTAGACTCATAATGCAGTTCGGTGCAGTATATGGTCATTATATGGGCACTATATGGCCACTGTAGACTCATAATGTAGTTCAGTGCAGTATATGGTCATTATATGGGCACTACATGGTCAGCGTAGACTCATAATGCAGTTCGGTGCAGTATATGGTCATTATATGGGCACTATATGGCCATTGTAGACTCATAATGCAGTTCAGTGCAGTATATGGTTATTATATGGGCACTATATGGTCAGCGTAGACTCATAATGCAGTTCGGTGCAGTATATGGTCATTATATGGGCACCATATGGCCATTGTAGACTCATAATGGAGTTTGGTGCAGTATATGGTCATTATATGGGCACTATATGGTCAGCGTAGACTCATAATGCCATTCAGAGCAGTATCTGGTCATTATATGGACACTATATGGCCAGCATAGACTCATAATGCAGTTCGGTACAGTATATGGTCATTATATGGGCACTATATGGTCAGCGTAGACTCATAATGCAGTTCAGTGCAGGATATGGTCATTATAGGGGCACTATATGGTCAGTGTAGACTAATAATGTAGTTCAGTGCAGTATATGGTTACTATACCGGCAGCATAAACTCATAATGCAGTTTAGTGGAGTATTGTCATTATGTGGGCACTACATGGTCAGCGTAGACTCATAATGCAGTTCAGTGCAGTATATGGTCATTATATGGGCACTATATGACCAGCATAGACTCATAATGCCGTTTGGTGTAGTATATGGTCATTATATGGGCACTATAAGGTCAGCGTAGACTCATAATGCAGTCCGGTGCAGTATATGGTCATTATATGGGCACTATATGGTCAGTGTAGACTCATAATGCAGTTCAGTGCAGTATATGGTCATTGTATGGGCACTATATGGCCATTGTAGACTCATAATGCCATTCAGTGCAGTATCTGGTCATTATATGGGCACTATATGGCCAGCGTAGACTCATAATGCCGTTCAGTGCAGTATCTGATCATTATATGGGCACTATATGGTCAGCATAGAGTCATAATGCAGTTCGGTGCAGTATCTGGTCATTATATGGGCACTATATGGCCAGTGTTGACTCATAATGTAGTTCAGTGCAGTATATGGGTACTATACGGTCAGCATAGACTCATAATGCAGTTCAGAGCAGTATATGGTCATTATATGCGCTCTATATGGTCAGCGTAGACTCATAATGCAGTTCAGTGCAGTATATGGTCATTATATAGGCTCTATATGGTCAGTGTAGACTCATAATGCAGTTCAGTGCAGTATATGGTCATTATATGGGCACTATATGTGCCAGTGTTGACTCATAATGCAGTTCAGTGCAGTATATGGTCATTATATGGGCACTATATGGCCAGTGTTGACTCATAATGCAGTTCGGTACAGTATATGCAGTTCGGTACAGTATATGGTCATTGTATGGGTGTCCAGATGGAGGGAAGTCCTGGTGCCGCTCTCGCCTGCTTTGATGAGACCTCTGTACCTGGAATCCCACTGTGTCCAATGGAGCAAGAGGGTTGTGAGAACTCCTCGATTGGAGATGATGGAATTTGCCATCTGGGAAGCCAAGGGGAGGCGGGGACGATGGGGCCAAGAGGTGGATTAGATTCCCCTCCGAAAGGCCCTCGTTGCCCCCCCCCCCTTCCTGGGCAGAGATTAGGGGCAGACAAGCTACCCGCCTGGGCTTGGCCCCATATGTCCTCACCGGCCGACAAAAGAAAACCCCAGGATCCGCTCCCACCCCCGGGATGACCCCTCGGCCCCGGCCTTCGGTTCCCTGGGCAACCGCTGAGCCCCAGTCTGTTAAAGGACTTATTGTAGGGGCTTCTAAAGGGGGCGTTGGGTGGGGGGCAGCAGCTGTTCCCTTTATCATTATTATGATTTTGCAAGGAATGGGATGCCTCCGTGGTCCCCGGGTTTGGGGCATCGTTCCATGTGGTGCAAGAGACCCCTTGCATTGGCCTTTTTGCAGAAAGAGGCTCACTGGCATCACAAGGCCGAGGCATAACAACAACAACAATAATAATAATAATAATAACTAGGTTTTTGTAATTTTTTTCAGGCTATATGGCCATGTTCTAGAGGCATTCTCTCCTGACGTTTCACCTGCATCTATGGCAAGCATACTTAGACGTTGTGAGCGTATAGTGCCCATATAATGACCATATACTGCACCGAACTGCATTATGAGTCTACGCTGACCATATAGTGCCCATATAATACATATACTGCACTGAACTGCATTATGAGTCTATGCTGACCATATAGTGCCCATATAATGGCCATATACTGCTCTGAACTGCATTATGATTCTATGCTGGACATATAGTGCCCATATAATGACCATATACTGTTCTGAACTGCATTATGACTCCACGCTGGACATACAGTGCCCATATAATGACCATATACTGCACTGAACTGCATTATGAGTCTATGCTGACTATATAGTACCCATATACTGCACTGAATTACATTATTAGTCTACACTGACCATATAGAGCCTATATAATGACCATATACTGCACTGAACTGCATTATGAGTCTACACTGACCATATAGTGCCCATATAATGACCATATACTGCTCTGAACTGCATTATGAGTATAAGCTGACCATATAGTGCCCATATAATGACCATATACTGCATTATGAGTCTACACTGACCATATAGTGCCCATATAATGACCATATACTGCATTATGAGTCTACACTGAACATATAGTGCCCATATAATGACCATATACTACTCTGAACTGCATTATGAGTCGACGCTGACCATATAGTGCCCACATAATGACCATATACTGCTCTGAACTGCATTATGAGTCTATGCTGGACATATTGTGCCCATATAATGACCATATACTGTACTGAGCTGCATTATAAGTCTACGCTGACCATATAGTGCCCATATAATGACCATATACTGCACTGAACTGCATTATAAGTCTACACAGACCATATAGAGCCAATACACGTACATGTGTAGAGCCCATACACATACATGTGTAGAGCCCATACACATACATATAATGACCATATACTGCACTGAACTGCATAATAATAATAATAATAATTATGATGATGATTATTATTATGATGATTATTATTATTTCTTATTCACCTTTCCATATGGCTCGAGGCAGGTCACAGGACATGTAAACATTGTAAAACGTATCTATAAACACGTGTATTAAAATGTAATTCTATAAAAGATACATATTAAAATGTATTTATACACAATACATATAGGGCTAGGATTCGAATCCCCGCTCAGCCATGGAAACTCATTGGATGAAGTTGGGTGAGCTGCACTCTCTCAGCCTCAGAGGAAAGGAAGGGCAAACCTTCCCAGGGTGTATCTACACTTACAAATTAATGCAGTTTACGTTGTCTTGAGCCTTCTGTGAGCCGTGGCAGCTAAAAGTGGCTTCAAACTGCATTAACGTAACACTAGAATAAAAGCAGAGGTGGCTCAAAGGCATCAGGACTGGAGAGACGTAATGCAGACCAGCAGAGTGGAGGGTGAATCCTGGCTCCCCAGCAACAGAAGAAAGAAGCCATTCCAAAGCTTTCAGCTATTGAAAATCATAGACTCCTAGAGTTTGGAGAGAGACCCAAAGGGCCATCCAGTCCCACCCTCTTCCACCACGCAGGAAGACACCATTCGATCCTTCCCGACAGATGGCCATGCTTAAAAAGGATACTTTGAGGCAAGAGCAGATATTCCTCTGACTTCAGGAAGTTAGTGTTTAAGTGGGATCTCTTTTCCTTCAGTTGAATGCATCTCTCTTCTGCCTTGGAGCATCTTCTCCATCCCAGGCCTCCTTGGCCACGCCCACTCACACTTATCCACGCCTACTTTGGACCAGTGGGCGTGGCCTCAAAAGTCTGGGTCTGAGTTGGAGGCAAGAGGGCTTTAAAGAGCTGCTGAAAAAAGGGGAAGAAAAGATGCCTTCGGATTTCCTAAGCCCTTTTGTGGAGTTGGAGGATGCTCTTTGCAAGGTAGGTGGCATCCCCAAATGTTTGCTCTTGTTTCTCCAATGGGATAGAGTTTCCCATAAGATGATGATAGCATCTTACAGTTGTGTTTTCTCCACTTTGCAATGCAATATTTTTGCTTCCACCTTCTTTCTTATCTTTTGCATGATTTTTTTCCCAATTTCCATTTCTCAATTGCATAAAAAATAAAATAAAATATAAAATAAAAATGTAGTAATATAAAATATAATATAAAATAAAATATATAAAATAAAATACGATAAATATAATATAATATAATATAATATAATATATAATATAAATAATAATGAACTAATATAAAAATAATATAATATAATATATATAATGAAATAAAAATATAATGTAATGTAATAATAAAAAATATAATAATAAAATATAATATATAATGTAATATAATATTATATAACATTATATAAATAATAAACTAATATAAAAATAATATAATATATAAAATAAAAAATATATAATGTAATATAGTATAAAATATAATGTAATGTAATAATAAAATATATAATAATAAAAATAAAAGATAATGGAATATAATATATAATGTAATATAATGTAATATAAAAATAAAATAAAATAAATAATAATAATAAACTAATATAAAAGTAATATAAKATAATATAAAAATAATAATAATGTAATAGAACATAAAATAATAATAAAATAAAATTATAATACAATATTTAATGTAATATAATATAAAATAAAAGAAATAATAATAATAAACTAATATAAAAATATAATATATAAAATAAAATAATAAAAACAAAATAAAAATATAATGTGATATAATATAAAAATAAAATAAAATAAAAATAATAAAAACTAATATAATATATAAATAAATAAAATATAATAAAAATAGTTTTTATAGAAATTGTGGGAGTTGTAGTCCAAAACACCCGGAGGGCCAGAGTTTGCCCATGCCTGCTATAAGACCTTTAGCATTCCCAAAATATGCAAAATATTCCAGTTTATTGTGCCTACATGTACATTTCATTGCATATGTCTTAATCAGTCTCGAGTTCTTGGATCATTTAATCTCTTATATTTTTGCATTATATGAATTTTCAACCATTTTTTGGAATCTGTTATGAACTTAGTTAAGAAAAAGACATGAGATAGAGATAGATATATCAATATAATGATTACACTATGTAACATTTTTGGGAATATTTTCCTGATTTTTTGTGATTATTTTTGTGAATAGGTTCATGAATATTTTTTATGAATATGTTTTGTGAATATTTTTGCATAGATACTTTATACAAATATTTTGTGAATATTTTTGTGAATATTTTCATAATTATTTTTGGGAATATATTTTGCAAATATTTTTGTGAATATTTTATTATTTTTTGGAATATTTTCATGATTTTTGAGAGTATATCTGTGAATATCTTTTGCAAATATTGACATTATTTTTGTGAATATTTTCGTGAATATTTTCTGTGTACTTTCATGAATATTTTCATGAAGAGTTTTGAGACTATTTTTGTGAAAAATTTCATGATTATTTTTGTGAATATTTTCATGATTATTTTCGTGAATTTATTTTGCAAATATTTTGTGAATATTTTAAATTATTTTGGGGAATATTTTTACAATTACTATTGTGCATATTTTATGATCACTGTTCTGTATATATTTACAGTTACTTTTGTGTATAGTTTGATAATATTTTGTGATTATTTTTCTGAATATTTTCATGATTTTTGAAAATATTTTAATGATTATTTTGGGGAATATTTCTGTGAATATTTTTTCAAATATTTTAATTATTTTTGTGAATATTTAAAAAAATATTTTCGTGAATATTTTTGTGAACTTTCATGAATATTTTTCTGAATGTTTCAGTTTTGAGAATATTTTTGGGAGTATTTTCATGATTATTTTTGTGAATATTTTCATGATTATTTTTGTGTATATTTTTACGATTACTTTTGTGTATATTTTTATGATTACTTTTGTGCATGTTTTTACGATTACATTTGTGTATATTTTTGATAATATTTTGTGATTATTTTTCTGAACATTTTCATGATTTTTGAGAATATTTTAGTGATTATTTTGGGGAATATTTCTGTGAATATTTTTTGCGAATACTGTAATTATTTTTGTGACTATTTTTGCAAATACTTTCGTGATTATTTTTGTGTACTTTCATGAATATTTTTCTGACTGTTTCAGTTTTGAGAATATTTTGTGAATATTTTCATGATTATTTTTGTGAATATTTTCATGATTATTTTTGGGAATATTTCCATGATTATTTTTGGGAAATTATTTCCTTATTTTTGTGAATAGTTTCATAAGTATTTGTGAACATTAAACAGTTTCCTGTTGAATTGCACAGTCCTTCCTTTGAAAGAAGCAGAAACTTTGCTTTTATGCCACAAATTGGTTGAGACTCAAAGAGATATTCATTAAAAATGATTGCAAAATGTATAATTAATGCAGTTTGACATGTCTTTAATTGCAATAGCTTAAGGCAATAGATTCCTGGGAGTTGCAGTTTTGCACCAAACCATACATCCTGGGATTTTGTAGTTTTGGAAAAGTAAGAGAAGGCCAAAGATGACCTTGCAAAGCTCCACCATTCCGTGGCGGTCCAGGTGGCGTTAAACTGTGTTAATTCTGCAGTGTAGATGCACCCCGAAAGACAAGGGAGAAAAAGCACCAAAGTTTGATGATTTATTTTTCTTGAAACCAAGCAACTTTTCAAACTTTATCGGATGCTTCCTGTGATGTGCAGAGAGAGGAAGGATGTGGTTGCACGGTGTTACGTTTGGGGTGGAAGGAGTACGCTTTCTCTTTATGTGTTGGTATTCGGGTCCCAAGTGTGGAAATTTCCACTCCAACTGGTGATGGGTGAATGGCCTTTTATTTTGGGGTAGGGGGGCGGGGGGGGGGGTTGGAAGAGGCCCCGTCCTGCCTCCTTTTGTCCCCACCGTCTGTTTCCTTGGCAACCGGTGGCATATGGTCCTCGGTGGGGCCACAAAGCCCTTGCTTGGGGTCAAGGCATTCTCTGCACCGAGGTTTTACCAGGGAAGGGATGGATTTATCCCTTTAAGACCCCAGTTGCATCCCGGGCCAAATCGTTTCCTGCTTGGCACCTGACGGTGAATGGAAAACCCATATGGCCAAGCGGTCAAAGGGTGGCCAAAGTGGCCAAAGTTAGGAAAAAGGAAGATCTAACTAATAAGCTGGGGTCAATTGCAGAACTTTGTTCGTTGCTCCGTTTTTTGCTAATAGGGATCCATATTTCATTAATCAAAGGGAGCTAGCTGCATTTAGTTAGAAGCTTCCCTTTTCTTAATAGGGATACGTAGTTCTGAAAGTGCCATTGAGCATAGAAAGTTGTATTAAGTTAATAGTTTGCTCCCTTTTGCTAATAGGGATCCATATTTCTGGAAGCATCATTGATCAGAGGGTTCTGCATTTAGTTAGAAGCTTCCCTTTCAGTAATAGGGATACATAGTTTTGAAAGTGCCATTGAGCATAGAAAGTTGCATTAAGTTAATAGCTTACTCTCTTTTTGTAATAGTGATCCATATTTCTGGATGTCGTTGGTCAGAAGGAGCTGCATTTAATTAAAAGCTTCCCTTTCCGTAATAGGGATACATTGTTCTGGAAGTGCCATTGGGCATAGAAAGTTGCATATAATTAATATCTTACTCCTTTTGCTAATAGGGATCCATATTTTTGGAAGTAATTGGTCAGAAGGAATTGCATTTAGTTAAAAGCTTCCCTTTTCATAATAATGATATATATTTCTGAAAGTGCCATTGAGCATAGAAAGTTGTATTTAGTTAATAGCTTGCTCCCTTTTGCTCATAGGGATCCGTATTTCTGGACATCATTAATCAGAGGGAGCTGCATTTAGTTAAAAGCTTCCCTTTAGGTAATTGGGATACAAAGTTCTGAAAGTGACATTGATAATAAGGATACATATTTCTGAAAGTGCCACTGGGCATCGAAAGTTGTATTTAGTTAATAGCCTGCTCCCTTTTGCTATATATCCATATTTTTGGAAGTCATTGGTCAGAAGGAGCTGCGTTGAGTTAAAAGCTTCCCTTTTCTGTAAAAGGGATGCATGGTTTTGGAAGTGCCATTGGGCATAGAAAGTTGCATATAGTTAATATCTTGCTCCTTTTGCTAATAGGGATCCATATTTTTGGAAGTCATTGGTCACAAGGAATTGCATTTAGTTAAAAGCTTCCCTTTCAGTAATAAGGATACAAAGTTCTGAAAGTGCCATTGATAATAAGGATACATATTTCTGAAAGTGCCATTTAGCATAGAAAGTTGTATTTAGTTAATAGTTTGCTCCCTTTTGCTAATAGGGATCCATATTTCTGGAAGCATCATTGATCAGAGGGTTCTGAATTTAGTTAGAAGTTTCCCTTTCCGTAATAGGGATACATTGTTCTGGAAGTGCCATTGGGCATAGAAAGTTGCATATAATTAATATCTTACTCCTTTGGTAATAGGGATCCATATTTTTGGAAGTCATTGGTCCCAAGGAATTGCATTTAGTTAAAAGCTCCCCTTTTCATAATAATGATATATATTTCCGAAAGTGCCATTGGGCATCGGAAGTTGTATTTAGTTAATAGCCTGCTCCCTTTTGCTAATAGGGATCCGTATTTCTGGAAATGATTGATCAGAGGGAGCTGCATTTAGTTAAAAGCTTCCCTTTTCTTAATAGGGATGCATAGTTCTGAAAGTGCCATTGAGCATAGAAAGCTGTATTTAGTTAATACCTTGCTCCCTTTTGCTAATAGGGATCCATATTTCTGGAAGTCATTGGTCAGAAGGAGCTGCATTTAGTTAAAAGCTTCCCTTTTCATAATAAGGATGCATAGTTCTGGAAGTGGCATTGAGCATAAAAGGTTGCATTAAGCTAATAGGGATACATAGTTCTGGAAGTGCCATTGAGCATAGAGAGTTGTATTTAGTTAATAGTTTGCTCCCTTTTGCTAATAGGGATCCATATTTTTGGAAGTCATTGGTCAGGAGGAGCTGCATTTAGTTAAAAGCTTCCTTTTTGTAATATGGATACATGGTTTTGGAAGTGTTATTGAGCACTTAATAGCTTGCATTAAGTTAATAGTTTTCTCCCCTTTGCTAATAGGGAGCCATATTTCTGGATATCATTGGTCAGAGGGAGCTGCATTTAGTTAAAAGCTTCCCTTTTCATAATAAGGATACATAGTTCTGAAAGTGTCCTTGGGCATAGAAAGTTGCATTAAGTTAATAGTTTGCTCCCTTTTTGCTAATAGGGATCCATATTTTTGGAAGACATTGGTCACAAGGAATTGCATTTAGTTAAAAGCTTCCCTTTTCATAATAAGGATATATTCTATGCCATTGAGCATAGAAAGGTACATTTATTGCATAGCTTCCCTTTTGCTCATAGGAATCCAAATTACTGGACATTGACCTTGAGTTTTGGAGATGTAGTTCACCTACATTCAGAGAGCACTGTGGACTCCAACAATGATGGATCTGGACCAAACTTGGCACAAGTACTTAATATGCCCAAAAGTCAACACTGGTGGAGTTTGGGGGAAATAGCCCTTGACATTTGGGAGTTGTAGTTGCTGGGATTTATAGTTCACCTAGAATCAAAGAGCACTCTGAACTCCACCTGTGATAGAATTGGGTCAAACTTGGCACACAGAACTCCCCTGACCAACGAAAGATACTGGAAGGGTTTGGTAGGTATTGCCCTTGAGTTTTGGAGTTGTAGTTCACCTACATCAAGAGAGCACTGTGGACTCAAACAATGATGGATCTGGACCAAACTTGGCACGAATACTCAATATTCCCAAATGTGAACACTGGTAGAATTTTGGGGAAATAGCCCTTGACATTTGGAAGTTGTAGTTGCTCTGATTTATAGTTCAGCTACAATCAAAGAGCGTTCTGAACCCCATCAATGATAGAATTGGGGCAAACTTGGCCACACAGATTTCCCCTGACCAACAGAAAATACTGGATGGGTTTGGTGGGCATTGACCTTGAGTTTTGGAGTTGTAGTTCACCTACATATAGAGAGCACTGTGGACTCAAACAATGATGGATCTGGGCCAAACTTTGCACAAATACTCAATACGCCCAAAAGTGAACACTGGTGGAGTTTGGGGGAAATAGCCCTTGACATTTGGGAGTTGTAGTTGCTGGGTCCAAACTTGGTGGGCATTGCCCTTGAGTTTTGGAGTTGTAGTTCACCTACATCCAGAGAGCACTGTGGACTGAAACAATGATGGATTTGGATCAAACTTGGCACAAATACTCAGTATGTCCAAATGTGGACACTGGTGGAGTTTGGGGGAAATAGACCTTGATATTTGGGAGTTGTAGTTCACCTACAATCAAAGAGCCTTCTGAACCCCACCAACGATATAATTGGGCCAAACTTCCCACACAGCACCCCCATGACCAACAGAAAATGCTGTGTTTTCAGATGGTCTTTTGAGACCCCTCTGACATCCCCTCATGACACCCCCGCCTCAGGGGTTATGACCCCCAGGTTGAGAAAGGCTGCCCTAGATTCATCCTTTGCTCTCCATCTTTTTTGCAGACTTTCCTGAGCCTGAATGTGGACAGAGATGTCCGAGCCCAAACCCGGACCCCTCCGGGTTTCGTCTTTGCGACCCCTCTGACATCCCCTCATGACCCCCCCCCCCAGGGGTTCTGACCCCCAGGTTGAGAAAGGTGGCTCTAGATTCACGCTTTGTTCTCCATCTTTTCCTTGCAGACTTTTCTGAGCCTGAATGTGGATGGTGACATCCGAGCCCAAACCCGGACCCCTCCAGGTTTCGTCTTTGGTGACCCCTCTGACATCCCCTCGTGACCCCCCCTCCCCAGGGGTTCTGACCCCCCAGGTTGAGAAAGGCTGCCCTAGATTCATGCTTTGCTCTCCATCTTTTTCTTGCAGACTTTCCTGAGCCTGAATGTGGACGGAGACGTCCGAGCCCAAACCTGGACCCCTCCGGGTTTCGTCTTTGGCGACCCCTCTGACATCCCCTTGTGATCCCCCCAGGGGTTCTGACCCCCAGGTTGAGAAAGGCTGCCCTAGATTGATGCTTTGCTCTCCATCTTTTTCTTGCAGACTTTCCTGAGCCTGAATGTGGACGGAAACGTCCGAGCCCAAACCTGGACCCCTCCGGGTTTCGTCTTTGGCGACCCCTCTGACATCCCCTTGTGATCCCCCCAGGGGTTCTGACCCCCAGGTTGAGAAAGGCTGCCCTAGATTCATCCTTTGCTCTCCATCTTTTTCTTGCAGACTTTCCTGAGCCTGAATGTGGACGGAGACGTCCGAGCCCAAACCCGGACCCCTCCGGGTTTCGTCTTTGGCGACCCCTCTGACATCCCCTCGTGACCCCCCCCCAGGGGTTCTGACCCCCAGGTTGAGAAAGGCTGCCCTAGATTCATGCTTTGCTCTCCATCTTTTTCTTGCAGACTTTCCTGAGCCTGAATGTGGACGGAGACGTCCGAGCCCAAACCCGGACCCCTCCGGGTTTTGTCTTTGGCGACCCCTCTGACATCCCCTCGTGACCCCCCCCCCCAGGTATTCTGACCCACCAGGTTGAGAAAGGCTGCCCTAGATTGATGCTTTGCTCTCCATCTCTTTCTTGCAGACTTTCCTGAGCCTGAATGTGGACGGAGATGTCCGAGCCCAAACCCGGACCCCTCCGGGTTTCCACCGCGCCCTTTCGGCTTGCCCTGTGGCCCTCTTGTCTTCTGACGACGATGCCATCGCATTGTGTGCCGCCTCCGACCAAAACGATATTGCGTGGCCCAGTCGGGGTCCTTGGGGCCGGGACCCTGAGCTTCCCCGCACCGTCCTGCACGACCTCCCATTCCGAGCGGACCGTTCAGTGAGTCTGATCGAGGGCAAAGGGACCTCGTCATCGTCGTCGTCGTCATCATCGTCCCGCTACAAGACGGAGCTGTGCCGCACCTTCGAGGAGAGCGGCTCCTGTAAGTACGGTGCCAAGTGCCAGTTTGCCCATGGGTCCGGCGAACTGCGCGGCCTCAGCCGGCACCCCAAGTACAAGACGGAGCCGTGCCGTACATTCCACACATCCGGAATCTGTCCGTATGGGGCCCGGTGCCACTTCATCCACAATGCGGAGGAGCGCCGGACACCTCCTGAAATGCCATGCCACTTTTCTTCACTTCTGTGCCGTGCCGATATGGAGACCCTTCCTTCTCCCCAAAACCTCGATTTCCCCAAAGCCTTCCTCCCTTGTGGTCAGCCTTCCGTGGCTTGCAACATAGTGACCTCCAACCCATTCGCCTTCCCGAACTTCTTGGCGCTCCAGAAGAGTCTTTCTGCGGATTCACTCTCGGACGTTGAAGATTCGGGGAGTTCCGTCGGAAGCAGCGGCTCCGAGTCGCCGGGATTGGGGCTTTCGGGGCGCCGGCTCCCCATCTTTAGCCAGCTCTCTGTTTCGGATGACTGAAAGGTTCAAATCAGAAAGGAGAGATGGAGGAAAACTACCGTTCTTCCCTAGCAAACTGAAGGGACCAGTTCAGAATGGGAAATTGGTTGTCCTTGGTTCGAATGTTGGCCCTCCCCAAATGTTTGGCTATCTTGTTGTTTTGTTTATTTTCAGGGAAGTCTTATTTAATTAACCCATCATCCCCAGGCGATCTATACAGAGACCAGCCAGTTGAGCAAAGCTGTGGTTGAAACTAAGAGAGAGGAAGGAGTTTTCCCTTCTTCTTTGTTGAGACTACACTGCCCAGAATCCTCTAGACAGCAGGATTGTGGGCATTGTAGTCCAAAACTAGAATCTTCAACTTGCGGAGAATACTGACATTCAGCACACATGGCTTAATGGATGGGCGAGAGTCTTAAGAGGACCACCAAAGGCTTTTAAGGAGAAGGAGATACCTGTCTGGATATATTGATGCCCGCATTGTGCATCTTGAATGAGAAAAGAGCTTAATTTAATATAGAAAAATATGACATTAAAATGGAGCCGATCTGCCATTTTGAGATTTTAGCGGATACGGGGGCCCAAAAGGGAGAGCTCCGTATCTGTGGTTCTAATTGACGCAGATTTGGCGTCCCTGGGACGCTAGAAAAGCAAGATGGAACTATTGAGAAAAAGTAGCCTGTCCATCCCAGCCGTCTTCAGCTAATGTGTTTGGGTTTTTTTTAGCTTGTCTGCCTCCAGCATTAGTCCGTCTCATCCCTTTATTTCCCAGGCTTATTTCCCAAGCCGGACCACCTGTGCCCCCAAAGCACCTCTATGGAGCTGCAACCACGGCCTTTGCCTTTTCGGGTCAGGACTAAGCCATCCGCCTCAACCTTCAGGGATGTGGATCCCGTCTTCTGGCCCGCTTTGGCCTGTTTTAGGATCTCCAAGAGGCCTGCTTTCTATGGAGGAAATGCTCCATACCCTATAGAAGGCATTTGGGAATGTATACATAAAATATACACTAATATATATTATATTAGTGTGTGCATATGTGTGTGTGTGTATGTGTGTGTGCGTATATGTGTGTGTGTGTATATATATATATATATATATATATATATATAGACACATACATAGATATATATACACGTACACCCACACATATACATATACATACACACAGATACACTAATGTAATTTATATTATATTAGTGGATGTATGTGTATATATAAACATCTATATATACACACATACATACATATACATACACACAGTATACACTAATATATATTATATTAGTGTATGTGTATATATAAACATCAATAATATATATAATATAAGTGTGTGTATATGTATGTATATATATATATGCACACACACACATACATATACACGCATACACAAATATTATATATAATATATATTTGTATGTAAGTGTATATACATATACATATACATACAGATGCACTAATATAATATATATCAGTGAATGTATGTGTATATATATGCAAACACACATATATACATATACACTCATACACAAATATTATATATAATATATATTTGTATATATGTGTATATATAATATAATATAAGTGTGCATATATATATGCACATACATATATACATATACACACATGCACAAATATTATATATAATATATAAAATATTTGTATGTATGTGTATAAATAAACATCAATAATATATATAATATTAGTGTGTGTATATATACATACACATATAAACATATACACACATACATAAATATTATATAAGTATGTATATGTATATATAAACACCAATAATATAGATTATATTAGTGTATGTACGTGTGTATATGTATGTATATGTATATATACACACAGATATATAAGCTATATCTTATATATCTTATATATATCATATTAGTGTATGTATGAGTGTATATATATGTGTGTATATGTATGTGTATATATACACAAATATATACACACATACACTAATATATTATATATATTATATTATATTAGTGTATGTGTGTATATATATACACACACACATATATATTATACACTAATTATAATGTATGAATGTATCTATATAAGTGTCAATAATATATATTGATGTTTCATCCCCAAATGCCTTCTATAGAGTATGGTGTGTGTGTATATGGATGTGTGTATATGGATGTGTGTATGTGTGTGTATAGCTCTCCAAGGTCTATTTCACTCTTGTTGTATTCGTCCATCCATCTGGATCCATAACTGCCAATTCCAATGAATTTTCTCAATAGTCTTGGACTACAACTCCCATCAGCCTTGGCCAATGCTGGAGGATGCTGGGATATGTAGTCAAATAACATCCGGAGGGGTAATAATGCTTCGACCAGTTTCCTTTTGGAGAGCACACCAGCCTAACTATGCCAACGATTGTACTTTCTTCCATGAAAAATTCCCTTTGTTGTTTAAGTCCATATTTGGAATATTGAATGCAGGAATGTCACCTTAGATATACCTATCATAGAATCAAAGAGTTGGAAGAGACCTCATGGGCCATCCAGTCCAACCCCCTGCCAAGAAGCAGGAATATTGCATTCAAATCACCCCTGACAGATGGCCATCCAGCCTCTGTTTAAAAGCTTCCAAAGAAGGAGCCTCCACCACACTCCGGAGCAGAGAGTTCCACTGCTGAACGGCTCTCACAGCCAGGAAGTTCTTCCTCAGATCTCCTCTCTTGTAGTTTGAAGCCATAGCTCCATTGCATCCTAGTCTCCAGGGAAGCAGAAAACAAGCTTGCTCCCTCCTCCCTGTGACTTCCTCTCACATATTTATACATGGCTATCATGTCTCCTCTCAGCCTTCTCTTCTTCAGGCTAAACATGCCAAGCTCTTTAAGCCGCTCCTCATAGGGCTTGTTCTCCAGACCCTTGATCGTTTTAGTTGCCCTCCTCTGGACACATTCCAGCTTGTCAATATCTCTCTTGAATTGTGGTGCCCAGAATTGGACACAATATCCAGGTGTGGTCTAACGAAAGCAGAAGAATAGAGGGGCAGCATGACTTCCCTGATATAGACACTAGACTCCTATTGATGCAGGCCAAATTCCCATTGGCTTTTTTGCTGCCACATCACATTGTTGGCTCATGTTTAACTTGTTGTCCACGAGGACTCCAAGATCTTTTCCACACGTACTGCTCTCGAGCCAGGCATGTCCCCCATTCTGTCTCTTTGCATTTCGTTTTTCCTGCCAAAGTGGAGTATCTTGCATTTGTCCCTGTTGAACTTCATTTTGTTAGTTTTGGCCATTCATCTCTCTAATCTATCAAGATCGTTTTGAATCCTGCTCCTGTCCTCTGGAGTATTGGCTATCCCTCCCAATTTGGTGTCGTCTGCAAACTTGATGATCTTGCCTTCTAACCCTTCATCTAAGTCATTAATAAGATGTTGAACAGGACCGGGCCCAGGATGGAACCCTGCCGATGGCACTCCACTCGTCACTTCTTTCCAGGATGAAGAGGAAGCATTGGGGAGAATCACCCTCTGGGTTCGTCCATTTAACCAATTCCAGATCCACCTCACTGTAGTTTTGCCTCGCCCACATTGGACTAGTTTCCTTGCCAGAAGGTCATGGGGGACCTTGTCGAAGAAGGCCTTCCTGAGATCCAGACACGCCACATCCACGGCATTCCCCGCATCTACCCAGCTTGTAACTCTATCGAAAAAAGAGATTGTTATTATTTTCTTATCTTCAAGACATTGGGTATGAAATGATATGTGGTGTTCGTTTTCCAAGCTAGAGCTGCAGAATTTCAACCCGAATCCTTAATATATTGTAAACTATTTATTGCAACTTTTAAAAATATAGTAATAATAATAAATCCAACTTTATTTCTGATATTTGGAACCAAATATTTTGCGTTTTCTTTTGATAGAAGAATCAACACCGTCCTTCGTTTAATAGTCAGCAGATTGTTCTTTATTAGCTTATTCTAAAGTTATACCAGCGTCTGCCTTAATTGTACTTTGGAAAGAGGGATATATATATATATCTATACATATTATTATATAGTATTCACTAATACGATCTATAGTATTAACTTATTTAGACAGAGATGTTTCTTTGGTTCGTCGATCTCGCGGCTAATCGATATGACTTTAAATGTCTGTATTACTATTTTGGACTGTAATAAAATACAAATAAATCAGGATTGCTGATGGACTGAAGATTTTTAAATATATATATATATAAATTTGCATTTGAGGCTGGGTCAAGCAATTTTGCATATATTTGCATATATTTTGCATACACATATGGTAGAATCATACAATCATAGAGTTGGAAGAGACCTCATGGGCCATCCAGTCCAACCCCATTCTGCTGGGTCAAGCAATTTTGCATATATTTGCATATATTTTGCATACACATATGGTAGAATCATACAATCCTAGAGTTGGAAGAGACCTCATGGGCCATCCAGTCCAACCCCATTCTGCTGTGTCAAGCAATTTTGCATATATTTGCATATATTTTGCATACACATATGGTAGAATCATACAATCCTAGAGTTGGAAGAGACCTCATGGGCCATCCAGTCCAACCCCATTCTGCTGGGTCAAGCAATTTTGCATATATTTGCATATATTTTGCATACACATATGGTAGAATCATACAATCCTAGAGTTGGAAGAGACCTCATGGGCCATCCAGTCCAACCCCATTCTGCCAAGAAGCAGGAAAATTGCATTCAAAGCACCCCCGACAGATGGCCATCCAGCCTCTGTTTGAAAGCCTTCAAAGAAGGAGCCTCCACCACACTGCGGGGCAGAGAGTTCCACTGTTGAACAGCTCCACTGCTGAATAGTATACATACATACACACACACAAGCTTGGTTACCATTACTGGGTTATTTTTTAAAATCGCACCACATGCATAAGGTTGTGGGTGAACTACAAGTCCCATCATACCAGGTCAACCTCTCAATCTGGCATCTATGGCAAGCATCCTCACTACCTCTGGTGCAGGTGAAACGTCAGGAGAGAATGCCTCTAGAACATGGCCATACA